AGATAAAAATTAGAAAGAAATTGTAAATAAACCGACCTGTAATTTCTCCTTAACAGTATAGGTAGGAAGGTGTTTAGTCTGTATATTTGTATTTCGTAGCAGAGTATATCCTATTCTTCACTATAGTAACTATATAGAGATTTAGGATTTGACAATGATGCTGAGGAGGGATCAATTGGTAGTTTTGATCTTGACAATAATCCCCTTCAGAGAATGTCTTGGTTAATTGATTGCTTGGAAAAAGGATGACCTGCAGAGGGGAGTGGGAGGGTACCCTGTTAAGATTTGGGTGAATGTGACAAGGAGAGAAACGCTTCAGACTGCCACATTCGATGCCATGTGATAGCCTGCGGGGGCTTAAGTGCCCAATGACAATTGAGCAGTAAAGATAAATACCTGTGCCCTGAATTAGGTATGAATAAGGGATCTCCTTGTAGGGGATGGAATAATGTATGGTAGACAACTGCCTATCAAGGCTGGACATATACACCAGGGATATTTGATACTTCGCAAACACACACCCTAAAAGAACGGATTAGTATATTTAAGGGAATTGTCCAACCAGACTGCCAGGCCTTGCAATGTATCCAATGACAATAATGATTACCAAGGCTGATAGCCTTGTTAACATCACTTTTGGCATTGGGATCAACATATGTGGAAGAGACCCAGTAGCTAGATTCAGAATAGCTGTATGGGATTCACTCCCTGATCATACTCAGAATGTCCAGGATAAGAAAAAGGGAGTGGAAAATCCTCCTAAAAATCCTGCAGTTGTAGTAATTACAGAAATAAAGGATCTCAGACAAATGTTTGAAATTGAGAAAGGATATGGAGATGTGAATACCTGGGTAGAATGGATTAAGTAGACTGACCAGACTCTCAACCACAGCAACTGCTATGCTTGTGCATGAGGGCGGCCTGTAGCTCAGGTAGTACCCCTTCCTCTGGGGTGAACCAAGGATTCCCAAGGGATGCAATGTATGATTGTCCTGTACCAGGAGAAAACTGTCTGGGGAAATGAAGCCTGTAAATCACTCTCCCAACTGTTTTTCCCAATACTGGAGACAGATGCCAAAATCCCTCCTGCATTCTCCATGGCCATAGGTAACCATACAGCTTGTCTCTCAAGGCAGGGTGTGAGGGCTACCAGGCCTATAGGGAATTTCTCATTATGCAATGAAACCTTGGATGTTACGAAAGATTTAGCAAGGAACTACTCAAGGCTGGGAATCCCTAGAGCGGATCTCTGGTGGTATTGCAGTGGGAAGAACTTACGCTCCACTCTCCCACCTAATTGGGGAGGTACCTGTGCACTTGTTCAACTGGCTATACCGTTCACTCTGGCATTCAAAAAGGATCTATCACATACTCACAGAAAGAACAAAAGGAGCCAAGGAGTCTAATCTGATGATGCAATATATATAGATTCAATTGGGGTGCCCAGAGGTGTCCCTGATGAATTTAAGGCTAGAAATCAAATTGCTGCAGGATTTGAGTCACTATTCTGGTGGGTGACAATTAACAAAAATGTCGATTGGACAAACTACATCTATTACAATCAGCAGAGATTTATAAACTATACAAAGGAGTCAAGAAAGGGAATTGCAGAACAATTGGATGCTACAAGCAGGATGGCCTGGGAAAACAAGATCTCTTAGATATGATATTAGCTGAAAAAGGGTGTGTGTGTGTAATGTCGGGCACTTGTTGTTGCACTTTCATCCCAAATAATACAGCCCCGGATGACACAATAACTAAAGCACGATGGGGACTTACTACTCTTGCTGATGAATTGGCAGAAAACTCAGGAATAGATACTTCTATCACTGGATGGTTGGAGACCTGGTTTGGCAAATGAAAAGGGATGATTGTATCCATATTTACTTCCTTGATTATAGTAGTAGGAGTCCTGATGGCCATTGGTTGCTGTATTATCCCCTGTGTGAGGGGATTCGTACAGCCATTAATTGAAATGCGCTGCTGAACAAACAATAATGGAGCCAACACCATATTCGGATAAAATGATGGTATTAGAAGAAATGGCAAATGAAGAAAGTGAAGAAAGAATAAGTCTTTAGAATCGTACCTTAGAGAAGAATTTCAGAAATAAAAATTGTAAAAAAAAAAAAAGGGGGGGGTTGAGGAATTGTGGGAATGGAATGTTGTGTCTGCATTAGATATTAAAAAGGGCAATTGGTTTGAAGAAGTCAAACATAATGTATTTGCATTCTGTAACTTACCCTTAGAAATAGTTATCTAAAAAGTAGAAATACTGTATATGTTAGCAGCATGTTTTAGAAACACAGTTGCTGAATTATGTGATTAATTCTTTCTTGCAAAACTGCAATAGCTGTTAAATGTTCAGACAATGTGGGTATAGTGTTAGGGATTAGAAAACATATTGTAGGGTTGTTCTGTCAGGATAAGAAACTCCCAGCAAAAGAAAAACACATTTAACAAACATCAAAGAAGCTAGGGCCTCTACACAAGGTCAGACTGTCACAACCCCGTGAGAAGGTTGGAATATGACGGGCAGGCATCAAGATACTCCCCTCTGTCCTTCTTCCGAGCTTGTCTCTATGCAAGGGAAGACGAGCAGATA